CAGGGCTTTTTCAAACAGCGGATACTATCTCTTTTGAGGTTACATCAAGGTAATAGTGATATATAAACAGTAATTTAATGAGCTATTTCATGATCGAAACAAAATAGCAGCTTGCAAAATCGTGAGCATATAAATATATATATATATATATATATATATATATATATATATATATATATATATGTATGTATGTATGTATATATGTATGTATGTATGTATGTATGTGTATATAGATATAGATATAGATATAGATATATATATATATATATATGTGTGTGTGTGTGTGTGTAAGTACACGGACTTGCCACGCACGACTGTACATGAATTTGGCCGTCCAAGTCCACATATTATAATAGTGCAATGTACATACCTTGCAACGCGCACTTTTCCGGCCATTTGCAAGTTCTCGCAAGTATATTGATACCAGTTTCTAAGTGCAATAGGGTCGGGCACTGGCACGTATTTGTAGAACAACAGCACGGTGCTTTCTCCAGTTCGTGTACCATTACCACTTGCTGTCGATTGGATACAATGTCTGTTGTCTGATAGTACATACACAGGCTTATGTGAAGCATATGCTGCAGGCTTACTACATGTAGATAAAGGGTCCTGAGTATGTGATGTACGTTGTTTCTCTATGCCCTCGTTGCTATCGTCATCTTTGCTCAATGCTTCGGATTCTCCTTCAGTTGTTCCATCGCTGCTGTGTTTTTGTGAATGCTTGTTTACATTCTCTAGTACTTTCGCAGGTAAATAATCGCATTCACTCACGATTGGCCATCCCTTGGGCACCTGATAGTCTATAGGCATAGTCCACTTCTCACCTCTGAGCTTAGCATATTCACCGCGTAACCTGGTACATTCGGCGCTTAGTAACTCGTCTGCATGTGATGCAAGTTCCGTAGTATGTGTTCGGGCCATATGCTGACGCAGAACACTCTGATCTGTGTATGTCAGGTCGCAACACTCCCATTGCTGTGCATCCTCGGTGTGTGCCTCGACTATTCTGCTGCGTTTCATGCGGTGTTCAGTACTGGGGTGTTGAGTGCTAGACTGTTGTTTTCCAGCAGCACACTCTTCTATATTGTCAACACTGCTATTGTCTAGACACAGCTTACCACTGTATTGTGTTGTGTAAATTACATCATTACTTCCTTTTTGTGCCTTTCTCAGCGGATGGTCAATATTTGAATCCGGATTGCGGGGTGCGAGTGCATGCCTGTGTACCCACTCGGTAGCTGCCAGCCGCTTCATCTTGGCGCGTAGCTTTTGTATGGTCTTCGCGTCTAAATCTGTCATCTGAGATATATAAGCGTATTGTTAGTGTTCTTATTACGACGGAAAGGTACAATGCCACAAACTTTGCCTCCTATATATCCTACATATGCCTACCGCGTCGTTTATAAGCAGCGTACCCTACTAGGTCCTATGAGCCTCTTCCATAGCCGTCTAAATTGTCATTCACACATTTTTTTGGGGGTATATACACACGGTAGAAACCCTATACCCTAAACCCTGGTTGTTACTGAGACCAAGAGACCTAAAAACAACTGAAAATGTTGCCGGGCGCTCCGGACGTGTCATGCCTCGAGCGGCAGAAGATAAGGATCTTTCAGTTTCTGCGTTGAGAATCTGCTGGAGAGCCTTTTTACGATATAATTTCCATATATGTATGACTGTAAGTACATCTGGAATTCCAGTAAATACTTCGGTGGTGAGGTAAATAGGGTTTTGAACACCGGTTGAGACCTATACAAATTAAAAACCATGTCGACTGACATGACAAGCGACAGCTACAATACCCTCATCACTGTGTTTGAGATGATCGCAACCACTTCATATGCACTCGCTGGTGCTATAGGTGGGGCCAAAGATGGTTGCGATGTCGTAGGCATGACTGTATTTGCACTGCTGCAAGCGTGTGGAGGCGGTACTATACGCGACTTAATAATCTATCAGCCTGTGTTCTGGGCGTCAGACGCAATTTTCATATACATCAGTATAGGAGCCATGTTCCTCATATACACGTATACACTATTCCGACAGGCTCATTGTTTCCCAAGGTGAGTCCGATCACAGTAAATGTCCTGGATACCTATCCGTGGAGACGTTAAGGAATACTATAGTGTGTGACAGTACAGTGCTTCCGTATTGTTTGGCTCTTGATTGCCATTTTCGCGAGTAGAAATTTAGGAAGTACTAGGTACCAGTCTTGTGACATTCATGAACATCATGCGAACGCTGCTGTTTGTTTTTCCATGTTCAGGTGCCACTGATAAGCTTCGTTTGTCGTATATGATCACATGAATATTAACTATTGTCTTCAGCAGTATCTGCATTCACTATGCGGATGTACAATATATGGGTATATTTCAACACGTGTATATCCATCAAGTGAATACAAGGATAGCTACCTTTCAATCTTAATCAGTTTGTAAATGTGTATGTACTAGTCTGCCAGCGTAAACTTTGCAAGATTACATGCACACACACACACATATATATATATATATATATATATATATATATACTAGTGTCAAATAATTTGTGATATACACCGTCTCGGAAATATTTCGTTTTGCGTGTATGTTACCTTGTCTTCAAATGTGACTATAATTCGAACGTATACAATGGTAAATACTTGACACTGGAACTGGATGTGCGTTTATATTGATTTAGATATTATCTATATCCGTCCATGGGCCTGAAAATGTTACTATAACAATTTAAAATTGATGTTTTTTTGTCGCTAATGACATAGCCCACTTACTTGGACAATAGCAATGACTATTTTCAAGTTGAAAACAATGAAGATCTTCGCGTTCGAAACATTGGCTGAGGAAACTTACATCACTTGTTTCCTGGTCTGAAATCCATCAAGGACAATATCGATCGGACGCATATTCTGGCTATAGAGAGGAGGAATGCCAAGTCTCAGTTTTTGTGTATTTTTGTTGAATACAAATCGTTCCCATCTCACTGTACAGTATGTGTTTATATGCTCGCATGTATTTACGTACACAGGCATTTACCCGAATATATTTGCATTTTTCCTTGTATGCCGGGTATGTGTTTGTGATAACTAGTGGGTATTGGATTAGAAAAATGAAAGACCGCCGGGGTGAGAGTCTCGGAGTTTGCTACTATTGTTGCCTTTGTCCCATGCAATCATCTGGATCCTTCTTCGCTATTCGGCCGAGTTTCTTGTTGGAATTGTTACACATGCATCAGAGCTCATGTATTCAATGCTCCGTACCTTGCAGCAACTACCTCATGTATGTAGAAGCCGTCGGTTTGGGATCATTTGCTGTGATCGGCACCTCGAAGACCATTCGCTCGGGGTTCCCATTTATCACAGCCGTGTTCATGGGCGTACTTACAGGTATTGTATTTTGTGTGTGCTGGACGTCACACAATTAAGTACGACTACCTGTTCTGCCTATATACGCGGTACTCGCTTCGGTGTCGTTGCATTGGTATCATACATATAGCGGCCATTAGCAAGCTAGTTCCCTTTAAAGTGGGACGCACATATGTACGTAGCTGGTATTGATATCAACGGTGATTGTAGATGGACACACTAGCCACAACTTCCTTCAACACGATGCAAGTCTTTGTTTAGATAGTCTAACTTAGTTTTATTTTATAGGTAGTTTTATGCTTCTCTTTTTCACTGCAACCTAAAAAAATTAGGAGTATTTCGTTATGCATCACAATGCTGCGCTCAAATCGACCGCTACAATGTACGTTTACGTCTATACAGGCCTCGTTAACCTTCACCACCAATGTATTACACCCGTGTCTCGTGCGCTTGTGTCAGAGATTAGATGACGTTTGATCAAACGTTGTGCTTATTTAGTCTATACGTTAACGAAGACTTGATTGGATTCACGAAACTTGCTCATCTCAATCAGGTGCAGGCAGTCTTCATATGCCCATATCGCAGAAAACAATGACACTCAATGCTCCCAAGATTCTGCTAACGCCGTGGGCATAGTTTACATGTTTTCCAATACAACCCAATACATCGCCAAACTCTACACATTTGCTGTATAGAGGAATGACAGAACATATATACAGTCTTATGCACTATACATCCGAAACACACCCTGCATAACTGATCCATAGAAAATAAATTGACCTCGCACTATGAATCCTTTTCAAATCACTACACAAATATCATTCTCAATATGATCATATTCTGATTTTTTACACGTCAGCGACCAATACTGTTTTCAAGAAAGATATTTACAACTCTTTCCACCATACTATACAGACTTTGCTCACAGTTGAAACACTCTTCTTATCTTCAGCAAACACTGCACAACTGTAATTTGCAGGAACGGGCGGTGGGCTCATGCGAGACACACTATCGGGAAGGATACCAATCGTCTTCCAGAAAGATATAATTGTTTTATCTTCGTTCACGGGGTGCATGCTGTTCGCAACCGTAGTCGTTGCGGGTAAGTGTAATTTGTTTTAAGTTAAGGTCCATGAAATGTATCTGTGTTACAGGGCTACTCACTAGACAACATAACTCCATATCAACTTAGCGCGTACTTTAGTGGAGAACTCACACATTGCATGCCACCTTTGCATTGCAATATCAGTGCCTCAAATATCGAACGAGTGGTACGTAGTGCTGACGGTCTGTACAATATTCCTCATCGCTGCGATGCGGATACTTGGTACCGTCTACTCTGAGTACATGCCGAGGCCAAGGTGATTTCAGTTCAAGTGCTTATTTGGTGATGTCTGCTGCTTTTAAATGTACCATTTCCCAGCTGCATTCTACTATAGAAGATGCTTTATTAGTATAGAAGGCGAGATGAGACTTGATGTTTCGATTGTACTTTCTTGTATTTAAAGTTGGAACTGGACCGCTATTTGGTGCAAAATTATATCTCACCTATCCGAGGGACGATTGCATACCCTTCATTTCAAATATTTCGTACCTAGCTCACGATTGTATCACGCACACGTGCTGCTATCTATATACTATATGCTTCAACCGTCTGCACTATATTCGTCAGAGATTGTGAAATTTCCAAACGAACAAGGGGTGCGAAATGAATGACACAAAGTCATTGGCCTAGGATCCGTGTGCCAATATTATTAAGTACCTTTCATTTCTTTATAATCTAGACATTTGATATGACCT